CTTTAACTATGATGCTACCAAGGCTCCTTCCATAAAGATTACAGCCTAGGAAACACTAGGGGGTTATTCTACTCTGTCACATGGGGTTGCTCCAGCTGTCCCCCAACAAAAGTTCCAGGTCCATAACCAACTGAAAGACTTAAGAAATCTATAGAAATGCTAGTGGTGATTCAATACTTTAAATGGAAAGATAGTTATATTCAATGCCTTAATTTCAAAACATTTAGGAAGACAAATGCAGGCTTCTCACTGGGGAAAGAGAAGAAAACCAAAAAATACCAGAGGTGCCTGTAGTGGTGTTGCCTTTCTCTGAAACCCAGAGCACACAAGAGTGTGTGAGATTTCACAGCTAGCCCCTAACTACACAATAAGGGAAAGAAGGAACACTCCAGAATAGTCTTTTTTGCTTGTTGTTGTTACGTGCCATTGAGTGACCTGCAACTCATAGCGACCCTATGTTCAACATCCCTAAGCCCTGCTCTATCCTGTGCCAATCTTACTGTCTCTGACACACCTACCCCCATTACCCTAGTCACTGAATCAATCCATCTCATTGAGGGTCTTCCTCTCCTACACGGTTCCCCTACCCCCACCCCCCCTCCCTAAGGATGATGTCCCTCTCCAAGGACTGGTCCCTCCTTGCCCAAGTATGTCAGACAAAACTTCAGAATACTTGCCTCCAAGGAACAGCCTGGTTTAACCCTCTCCAGGACGAACCTGTTCGTTCTCTTAGCAGTCCATGGTATAGTCAATAATCTTAGTGCTCCATTAATCCAGGATGGAGAAATGAGCAGGAAAGAATGGTGCCTCTGAAACCCAAGCTTGGGTCAAGCTATGTGCTAGGTACAGCAATCGATAGAATATTAATTAACAACAACACCCTCCCCCACCACCCAGTGCAGGTATTCAAACCAGACTGTGAGGCAGTGTCTGAAGAGTGAGGGAAACACACGTTAGACTTCAGGGAAACTGTCTGGTCTGGGGAGCTGATGACTTAGAAGGTTTCGGCATTCCTCCTCCAGGCGGAACTGATGGGCTCAGGGTGCCTGCAGCACTTCCAGAATCAGAAGGATTACTAGGAAAGAAGATTCTAGGATTTTCTTTTTATGAATACAGAGAGGAAAATGAGATAAGACCCTTTTACATCAACTCCTACTGTAAAAGACAAATAACATAGGAAGACAAAGAGGCAGGCTTCCAGAATTAGGGTTCACTGTTGCTTTGAACAAGACTCAGTAGCAAAGTAAACCACAAAGATTTTACAAATTAAAACAAAAGCCACTTCAGTACTCTAACATTTGGAGTTGAAGAATATCTAAGAAGCCATGAACTGAGAAGCCCATCCCACCTCAAACACTCTGTCCTCCTGAGTTACTATGAGAACAGGCTGCAAAGCAATTCCCCTCAGGTTCCAAAATGCAACAAGCAGCTTCCAAGCTTCCACAGGACGGCTCACCATCTCCTCGGTTTACTGATTCATATTTGGGAGCAAGGTTACAATTAGCACACCGGTGGAGAATAACCCTATTTATAACACGGCTGTCTACCTGAAAGGCACACGCCTGTAAAAAGGCTTCTGGAGGAAAATGAAATGCAGTTTCCTCCTGTACTGAGTACAGATCCCCAAGGTCCCTTCAGATGAAGTCCTCAGTCTAACCTTCCTGTGCTCACAGTCACCACTCTGGCCACCTCTCAGCCTCCATGTTCTTATGTAACATTTACATAGTGCCATAAACATACTCAGAGTTGCGTAAGAACGAAAACGTTGCCAAACCAATAAAACCTAAAGCAGGTCACTCCCTCCAGACTGTCTTTGATTAGCACAGGTATACTGCCAGGTCTACAGATGTAAGGGCCTGTCATAGACCAAAATTAACTACAGGAAATCTGAAATGGGTCAACAAAAATTCACAAATAACTCATCAGCCACATTGTGACATGTGGTGCCTCTATCAATCACAGAGTTTGTTATTCTGTCCTGCAAGATAAAAAGTAACCCAACATTGCTTATTCACTGGAGTCAGAAAGTGTCTAAAAATACCTCCCAGCCAACAGGCTATCAGTAAGTCAGATTTGCAAAGGTCCCACTAAGAACAGCGAGGAACATTTCCTTACTTGACAGAGAAAAACTGAGGCAGAGTCACTGAAAGGTTATGCTACTTGTTCAAGGACAATCTGTAAGGGAGTGACATTCTGGAGCAGTAAAGCAGCCTCCAGCCAAGGAGCTCTAACCTTTAACCAGAGTAGCCATGTTCACAGGCTTTAATCACATCTGTTCCAGGAGCTATGTTTTAACAAAAGTAATCACCGATTCTTTTTTCTCTACAAGAGTTCACTTCACAGTGCTTCAAATCTGTAACCACTCAACACAATTACAAGACTTGGCCTGAGATGTGATTTTTCAGTTTGTTCAGAGAAATTCAAAAGGTTCCTAACAGGACATCAAATGTTTCTCTTAATGCTTTTGTCTTGAGATACGAATGTCATGTTCTTGTGCTACTAATTTAATTTTACATTTTAAAATACTAATGTTACAATTCCAAGCCTAGGCCTGAAAACAGAGTATACTGATGAAAGGGATGCTGTTTCTAACCTGAAACTCATTCTCCTTATCACTGTTTTTTTACTAAGTCTCAGTTAATTCATTAATTAATAGAAACACCTATCCCTTACTGCTCTCATTATCAAGTCCAAGTACCATGCATCAGAGTTACCTGGCTCTGCCACTCCTCCAGCCCACACTATATAGGAAATACAGAGGAGGGGGGAAAAAAAATCAACTTCTTGTTATCCCACAGCCTCTATCTTCCCAGAACTGACGTTTTACTTTAAGCCTTTTGCAACAGTGGTCTCCAGTAGCATGCACTATTGGCAACTAGATGTGTCCCGGAAAAAACTGCAGTGTCTGGCCAAGAAGTTTAAAGGCCTTTGAGAATGTTTGCTGGACACACAATCTGATTTCCAATTTACCAAAAAAAGAAACTATCTCCCTATTGTGCCCACCCACCCTCACCCCAACAAACACCCATTTTAGGAAAGTTACAAGAAATGAACTCTGCCTATTCAGAACCAGTTGGATTAGCAATTAAACATTTTTAACTGGGCTCACAAGAAGAAAAATCCCACAGACACTACACCAAATCAGCAGGGAAGTGGTTGTTAAAAATCTTGCATATATTACAGATAAGGATAAAAATGGCTATGGAAGAAAATTTCAAGATTTATTCATACACACATAAAATAACAAACCTAAAGACTCAAGTCTCCTTACTTGCCACTCCACCAGAGATATAGCATTATGCTACATATTCCAGAAACATGGTCCATAATAACACCCAGTGAACATCATTATTCACTAAGACCATTCTCTCATCACCAATGTCAGGGTCCATTCATACACCTTCCCTGTGTTTATCAGACCACACAGCAGACATAGTTAGCCACGCCACAGAGCAGTGAGACCAAAGAACACAAACGAGAACACACACGAGGTGCTGAGCAGAAGCATTCTGCAAGTGAACAAAGACCCCACTGCACAGGCTACACCACGGGGGGGTGGGGGGGGGTGTCAAAGCCAGAGATAATGAACTTGTTTTTGAGACTCCAAAGTCAGGTTTACTAAGGAAGCCTGAACCCACTTGAGAGTATTATTTTTTGTGAAGAGGAGAGCCACTCCATCACCCATTGCTGGAAAGCGAGGGGCTGCTGAGAAGTCAAAGCAGCAGCCTTTGCACATTGGGAGAAAATACAATCCCCATCTCCTAGATCCATCTGTGGGTCAATATCACTTCAATAGAAATTGCCAAATATAACCTTCATCTTAAACACCAATGCCAAAACACATCAGAGACGACTCTCTTAAATGAAATATTTTAGGGTTTCATCTGCTCTCTTCAGCCTTCAAAGCATAAACAACGCAGAAAGGTACCCGTTTCTACCGTAGGAAGGCTGAGGGTGATATGAAAGGACGTTTGGGGTTGGGAGGTTAAGGGGTGTGTGAGGGTATGGGAGTGAATGGAGGAGAATGTTGGGAAGAGGGATTGTATGGGGATGGTAAATTAAATACTAAGGACCAGGGTTCAGTGGTGGGATCTTTAAATAATCTTGGGGGCTGGGGACGGGTTCTAAGATTTCACCTGAAAGGCATCCACAAAGTAATTAACCGAATGGGCCCCCTGGGGTGGGTTGGGGGAGGGGAGAAGGAAAGCAAATACATCTAGAGTCAGATTAACCGTTCTGGAACTAGATTTCAGAGGGTTAGGGAACACACTGAAACCGAGAGCCAAAAAAGGTTTAGGGGCCTGTTTCTTCATTCCACTTCCTTCAAATAGCTTCCATGGAGCATATATATATATATATACACTACAGATAGGGGATTAACACCCCCTGAACTCAAGGGACTGAGCGGAGAAATGAGACTCCCTTTCCCACAATATTAGGGAGGAGGGGAAGGCAGGGAAAAGGCGTCCTAGGTGCTAGACCTAAAGGAAAGGTTCGCGACCCCTCTCCCCTGTATCTGAGATGCGAAAGGCCCCTCAACGTCAAGATACCTCGGAGTACCAAAAACCCGATCGCCCGAACTCTACAATACTGCTGGGGGGAAAGATGCCCCCATGAGCATCTGGAGAAGGGAATAAAGCCCTCAACCCCTGGGCACACAGGCTCTTCGAAATCATGGCTCTTCGAATCCTGGGGATGGAAACCCAGACCCTCCTCTATGGAGCATGGTGAGGCTGGGAGAGCTCCCCTAAACCAGTTCCGCCTGGAAGGGGGTTCAGGTCCCCAGGGGCCTGCCGTAGGCTCAGCAGCTGCTTGGCGGCCGCGCCTCGGAGGTTAGGGGAAGCTGACTGGGGGTCACCCCGACTCCTCCGGGGCCCCCCGCCCGGCCATATTGTGCGCGTGGGGAGGGGGCGCGCTGTAGCTCAGGGACCGCGACTCGAGGCCTCGCCCTCGTCTGGCTCTCTCCATCCCGGCTCCCGCCCCGTGGGCCCGGGACTCACCCTGGATCCCCCGAGGCCCGGACCCGCCGCTGCCCACGAGCAGGAGGACAACAAGAGGGAAGAAGGAGAAGGCTCCAGTCGACTCCGCCATAGTAACCGCCGCCGCCGC